TTATAAAGTAATCCTTGAGCAGTCATTAAAACAAAAAACTGAAAGCTTTTATTTATTTGCAATTTAAATCAATAGCTTCAAAGGTTAACTATATCTCTACTCCGCAGTAATATCCACAATTACCCTAGATATGAATAGACAATACAGTTTCTCAAGTGAATCAGCATCAATAGGCAATCGGAGAACAATTGAATTCAGATTGACTCGTAGCAAGTTCTGTCTATGTGTTTATGCAATTGCTTACCTGGCTTCTAAATGCTGCCGCGAGGGTGTCCTCGGCGGTGGATTAATAACAGGAACTTGATCTAACATCGTCCTCGAGCTGGACCTCTTCATCGTGCCCATGGACTCGCTTTTCCTCGAATCTAGGGTACACTTGGACGCCTCCCTATGCACCCTTCTGTCCTCCTTGCTAGGCGCTCGATTTTTCCTTAACTCTGCGTTTATATCTCCCAACACGCGGTTGTAATCCTCTTGCTTCCTCTGCTCGTCTAACGTAGGACCTACGGAGTGGTGATCGCTGTCCGACAACTGTGGAGGAGTTTTTACACAGTAGGTTTATTATATTATTTCATTATCGAGGAATAAACTAGTTTAGAACTTTCGTATATATTATGACACTGTTTTATATTTTATTTTCATGTTGTAAAAAAAGAATCAGTTATTTCATATAATTACTCTTATTAATTGATTTATTTGTTTTATTTGAGTTCGTTTCACCAAATTACGTAATTCTCCTTTATTTTTCGAATCATAAAATACCTCGTTCTGCGTGTAAAACATCGGGGGTCTCGGTTCTGTTTGCACACTCTGCATGCTCTCGCGTCTCAAAGAGCCGTCGGGGCTAGTGATCATTACTGGTATCGGAGTCAGCGGCGTCATCGGCACGTTCATGTGCAGGCCACCCGTCGACGATGCCAGGCTCGAACCAGATCCGGTGGTCAACGAACTGCTGGACGTGTCGCGGTAGTGTGCAAAGCCACTATTGCTCATACGTTCTGTAATCATCACAAGACTCAAATTAAAAATTATAACATAGACTTTCAAATTAAAAATTATAATATGTAGAGACAATAATTGCATATAGAATGCATACAAGTATATTGTAAACGTATTATCAAGACCGAGAAGTATGAAATAAACGATTGCTACTACTAATAGAATATAATTAATCAGCACTGATCCGAATCATTGACTCATGAGAAATATTGTTAATTATCGATTAAATGAATTGTAGTATGGAAATTGCGGTACATTGTAATAGAAGGATGGCAGCCTGTGTCGTGACAGATTCGATAAACTTGATTCGAGTTAATCGGGGTCAATTACATTTCACCTAGCAGGCGAACGTCAATCAAATAGAGTTCACTTTTTATTATGGTAGTTGCTGCCTCAAAGGGCTTCGAACTTTCCTTGTCATTCAGTTAACGCGTTCACGACCACGCCGATCATAATTTCATTTCGTAATTTACTTATAATTTTCCTTTCGGACATACTTGGCCGCGTATACTTCAATTTTACACATAAAGCATTCTGGTACCATCGGAAGCAATGAGGCTCGACTCGAATGCCTTAATTATAGAAATTGATTACACGTTCTTCCCAAAGTTGAGTAAAATCAGATTGTTCAACAAGAAATTTGAAATTATTTATTTCTGTTGTTATATAAATGATGAAGGATCGAACAAAATTCGTACCTCCTTTAGCACGTTGCATAGTTCGAATCTTGTCCAGGTCTGCCGCCGAACATAACGGCGTATCGACCTCGTAGGTATTATTAAAAAGCGTATAATTCACTTCGTACTCCCCAGTCTCTTTCTTAAACGTGATTATATGCTCGAATCTGTGGCCCCATAGAATCTCAGACGGTAGATAGGAGCTCCTAGCTTGAGTCGTCATGCCAGTGGATTCTATCACACCTGCAATCAATTAAATTTAGTATTATAAATATTATCAGAAGAATTAGAATTAGAAGTAGAATTAGAAGAAGAATTTAGTATTATAAATATTATCAGAGAATAATATCACAATTAAATCAGGAAAGTAGCCAATTTTATGTATGCGCTTAAGGATGTAT